TATATTAATATACCGCACGTTGGGGTTGAGGCACTGAGTGATTGTTTTTGTGTTTGTCTGTATGTATCTATTTATGTTTTAGAACATTTTGGTTGGTTTTGTGGTTGTGTGTGTGGGTGTGTGGGTGGGTGGGTGTGTGTGGGTGTGTGGGTGGGTGTGTGGGTGGGTGTGCGTCTCTCCCTATCTCTCTCTGTCTGCGTCGCCGTCTCTTGAATTCCACCCATGCTGCTGGGGTGCTCGCATCGAGTGTGCTCTGCTGCACACGCCACCGCTGCTGCGCTCACAATCCATGCGCGGCATTGCAGGAGGAGACGCGGCTGGTGGAGGCCATGCAGAAGCAGCACGGGCCCCTGTCCCCACACGATGCCGTGGTCAAGTCTGGAAACAAGAAGCAGATCAACCAACGAATCCACTTGGTTGCGCAGATGGTGAACCGCTTGGGCTCGCTCATGTCGCGCGTCAAGACCGCTGCCACTATCACTGCCAATGGTGAAAAGAGCGGTGACAGGGCTGACGATAAGAATGGTGACAAAGAGGCTGGCGATGAGGGTAATGACCAGGGTGGTGGTGGTGATGACGGGAAAAAGGAGGCGAGTGGTACGACTGCTTCTGGTGACAATGGTTTGGACACGGCAACAGCTGTTGTTGCGTCATGATGATTTCGCACCGTGCACCCGGTGTTCGCCACACTTTACCGTTTCCGCGTTTGTTTTGAGTGCACTGATTGCACCCTTCTTGCCTGTGCTTGAGTGTGCTTGCGGTTTGTCTGTCCGTGTCCCGGTGGGTCTGTTGAGTCGCGTGGTCGTTGGTTGGATTGTTTATTGTTCGTGCTGCGACGGATCTGTTGGCCAATAACGTGATGCGCCCACGAAAGTTAAACAAGAAACTACATAGCCTGTCATGTCAGCCTGATCATGCGTCAATCATCGATGCAATGAACGCCGTCATCCGGTGGGGACGGCTGCAGTGGAGGCTGAGGACCCACTGTCCACACCTCGTCGTTCAGGTCGCTCCTGTCCAGTTCGTCCAGCGCACGCATGGCCTGCAGGTGCTCCTGCATGTACGGCTTTGATCGCTTGGATGTGTCGTGGGGGAAGTGCACCAGGAACTCGCCACGCAGGGTGAAGAACTGAAACCGGTGGGCACGCAAGCGGGTGATGAACGAAATCTTGTTCTTGTAGCGCCCTGCAAACAGCAGCAAGAGAACCAGACGCAACGATACACATACACCGGGGTCAATGAATGTGCGGCGCACGAGATGCTGTGTGAGCATGTTTCCATTTGAAGACGTTGGTGACCCTCGGCCCAGCACTCACTCGTGTACACACACATACACAGGCACACAGGTACACCGCGTTCGCAAGTACACTAAGCACACGCGCCCATACAGCAACGTATAACCACAACCGAACAACACCAGACAACAGACAAGACAACAACCAAACAACAGACCAAACAACAGACCAGACAACAGACCAGACAACAGACCAGACAACAAAACCACATGGTGTCACTCTCTCGCACCCCAACTGACACCCCAGCGCTCACCAACGTAGTGTTCTGGATAACGCGGTAGGTTTGCGCCAGAGACCCCGTCCTTCCGCTTCACGACCACAAATGGTTCATAGAAGATGTCCTTCATCGGCCCGCCTGTGGCGATGCGATAAAACCCCTGGATGTGCGCGCGTGACTCCCTGAGCCAGCGGTAGTACTGCGTGGTTTCGATACCACGCCACCACACGGCGCGCCCTTCCATGCACGATGAGGATGGGGTGGCCAGCTCAGTGGCAGCCGGGACGATGAGTTTTGGGTCGCAGTGGAAGGGGCGTGCAAGACCAGCCATCGCCATCTTGTCCAGCTGCTGAAACGTTGTCGGGACCGGTGGTGGTGCGCTGCCACCACAACGCAGCAGCTCCCAGTGCGGCACAACAAGCGCTGGACGATCAATGGCAGCCAGTAACGGCAAATACCTCGTGACCAGGCTATCGTACAGAGATGCGCTCGGCAGGAAGTCCATGTCGCACTTGCAGGAGAAGAGAGGGAGAATAGAGAGTGTGTGTGAATGTGTATGTGTATGTGTGTGTGCGTGTGTGTGAGAATGCGTGTGTATGTGCGTGTATATGTGTGTGTGAATGTGTGTATGTGAGTGAGAGAAAATGTGTGTATGTGTGTGTGCGTGCATGTATAGGTTTGTTGTGCAGAGCTCAGTGACAAGGACTTCAGCACTGTGTCACCACATCTCTTCATACAAACGGTGTGATGCAATGTCTCCTCCCTGATTGATGGCCACCCAACAGCGGCTCCAAACACCGTGCCGAAGCACTCCACGCACTCGCCCCTTGTCAACATTGCCCTCATCCCACCACCCCTTCCACCCATCCCTCTGACTCACTGTGAAGATAAAGTTGGTAGGAGCAAGGTCGACAGCGAGGTTTCGAAGCGTGTTGATCGGGATCACCGGGGGTGCTGCTGGATCGCTTGCGCGAAAGCGTGACGTGTAGAAGTCGCTGCTCTCTGTTATGGGCACAGCCACAATCTGTACGGGGGGGGGGGGCACGTGCATGTGTGCGTGCATGCGTGCTGATGAGAGACCAAGGTGGTGCAGGGGAAGTTTGGATGTCGAAAAGGTGATGCGTGTGTGCCCCAAGCCACCTCTTGGTTGGCTACTTGCTTGCATGCAGGCAAAGGTGGAGAGGCAATCGGCTTGAACGTGTGTGTGTGTGTGTGTGTGTGTGTGTGTGTGTGTGTGTGTGTGTGTGTGTGTGTGTGTGTGTGCGTGCGTGTGTGTGTGTGTGTGTGTGTGTGTGTGCGTGTGTGTGTGTGTGTGTGTGCGTGTGTGTGTGTGTGCGTGTGTTATGGTGACCTTTGCGTTGTGACACGTTGATTGCAGTGTGCGTAGCTGTGGGTGCTCTGTTCCCGCCTCACGCACGGCAAAGACAACCACCTTGGGCCCGCGCCAGGCCCTGCACAGCATCTCAACCACATGCACTCGATCGAGAGTGCCCTGCAAATCATTGAGAGAGAGAGCAAGACAGTGTGTGTGTGTGTCGCTAATGAGCTCCTACTCATAGACAAAGGGTACAACGAGAGTGAGAAGCCTGCATGACTGTCCGAGCATGATGTTCGCGTTGTGAGGGTACATCTTGCGAGGCAGACGTAGCAAGGCAGTGCTCAAATGATCAATGACACAAGCTCACCTGTGTCACCAGCGTGACGTCCAGCTCAGATAGGGCTGCCCCGTCAATCGCATCTACAGCAACCTCGAGCCTGCAGACAAGCAATGACACACAAGTGGCTCAGAAGATGGGCCAGGCGTTGCCTGCAGGCACGGATACGCAAACACAGAAAGGCAGAGATACAGTGCAAGGCAGGCAGGGTAGACAGAAACACGCAGGCGCGCACTAAACCGTGCATGTACCAGGAGGGCGCAGCTGCGGCTGGGGAAGGGAGTCGACGATACGCATCACTGCAGCATCTCCTTGGTCCGCACTGATACAGACAGTACCTGACACGAGGACGCATGTGCAGGAGAGGGACATCCAGTGAGCATACAACAGTGCACTAGTGCACTAAGCCAGACGCGTGACAAGAGCAGGCTTGATGCATGTGTTAGTGTGTGTGTGTGCGTGAGTGTTTGTGTGAGTGTGTGCTTGAGCGTGTGTTAGTGTGTGTGTGAATGAGAGAGTGTGCGATAATGAGCTCTGCACAGTGACATGTGTTCGCCACGCACACATGCACACGCACACACACGCGAGCACACACAGATGCACACACATACAAGCACATGTGTATGGCTGTGTGCATACTCGTGGGGCTGTTGGGTGAGCTGGGAAACGAGAGCCTTGTCAACGAGAGAGGCGTTGCCTGTGATATGGAGAAGGCCTGTGTCTTGCTGGAGCACACTTGAGCAGCGCGGCAGCGCCCTGGCGGAGAGAACACTGGCTATCTCCCGCTGCTGCCGATCTCGTCGCTCGTGAAGCTCTCGCAGCGATTCCTCTGCGCGCCTGCGCTTCTCCACCTGCCGCAGCACGCCTTTGCCTTCCCGAAGGTCGCGACCCAGCAGCACATCAACCACCACCTCCGTGTCGTAGGGAGAGAGCACGGCCAGCAACACAGCCAAGCCCACCAGGCACAGCGCAGCACACAGCAGGCAGTACGCCACCCGCCGCAAGCACCGCGCACCCACCATCATCACTGCACGTGGCTTGTGTTGTTTGTGTTTGTGTGTTGTTGGGATTGTAGTTCTGACAGTTGTGTTGGTGCGATGATGTGACGGACGACGATGCCTTTGCTACCAAATCAATGAGGACTGATCACATCACCCCTGTTATCGTTATCGTAACACAGCAGGTGGCATGACACAAGCCTTACAACAACACACACACACAATACACATACACACGCAAAGGACAGGGGATGTGCTATGCAAGCGAGGCGAGGGGAAGCTCCTTGAGCAAGGCATTGAGTGCCGCCAGGTGGGATGGCGGCGTGGGCGCAATGTCCTTGAACATGAGCTCCGGCAGCTTCGCCTTGCGCAACACGTGATTGACGCGCTCGAGCTGGGTGCGGTGCTCGTTGAAGCGCGCCACCTTCACCCCGGGGCGAGTGAAACCCGCAGCAGCCGCCTTGAGATCGGCAATGGCCCCGCGCGCCACGCGAGACAGCTGCTCCGGCGTCAACAGGCTGTGACTCAAGTGCATGTGCAGAGCAACAGCAATGTAGTTGTCCACCACGTGCACGCCCAAGGCCGCCAATCTCCTCCGCTCCTCATGCGGTGTCTTAAAGGTGACCCCGTCCTCCAGCACCACGTCTTGTATGTACGCGGCTACCAGACCCTGGCCCCCAAACAGCCGATTCGCCTTTCCATGCCTGCTCCTCCGTCGCTCACCACCGCTGCCGACATCGCCTCTGCCACACGCTGGTTCTTTCCCTGCGCCGTCACCGCCACGCTCAGCTTCACCCAATACACTCGACACACTGACACGCTCGTGCGCACACTGCTCCTGCTGCTGCTGCTGTAGTTGTTGTTGGGCTTGCTGTAGCAGCTCAAGTGCTGTGAGCACGTCTCCTTGCCCGCTGTCCCCAAACCACACGAACCGGCACTCTGGGAAGAGCAGGGAGTAGCGCACGACGTTGCGCACCTTGGTTGAGCTGATGCGGCTGTTGCAGAAGGCGGGCGCCAGCGGGATGAGGAGTGAGTCACTCAGGTGGCCGCACAGCACAGAGGCGGTCACGCCCATGCGCTGGAGAGAGTGGAACGTGCGCCGCTCAACAAACGCGGGACGGGCCGTGACAAACGCCACACGTGTGCTCACGGCACTCAGCAGTGAAAGTGCACCAGGCAGCACCGTTCCTTTGGGGTACTTTGGCCCGCCGAGACCATACCCACTATGCACAAACGTATCTACGTGTGCGCGTGTGTGCGTGTGTGTTTGTGTTTGTGTGTATGTGTATGTGTATGTGTATGTGTATGTGTGCGTGTGTGTTTGTGTATGTGCATGTGTATGTGTATGTATGTGTATGTGTGTGTATGTGTGTGTGAATGCGTGGTGAGAAGAAGATGCAAGCACACACGGACCAGCCAATGCATGTACAAACACACACGCACACGCACACGCACACGCACACGCACACACATGCACGCACACATACACACTCCGTGCTCACCATCAATATCAGAGAGCACGTGGACATCCGGTGGGTGGTCTGCGTGCTGCTGACGATACTTGTGCGCCTTCTCAGCGATGATGGTGTACAATCGCTGCCTCAATTGACGGTCAGTCATGTGCTGGTCCAGGATACGTGACAGGTTGATGACGGATGACTGCAGTTGCAACTTCAGTTCAGATAGCTCCTCGGGGGAACATGACTACAATACACGCACCAGGAGAGGCATGATCACAACAGGAGAGGCATGATCCCAACGTAGCCAAGTCCACACGAACGAACACCACGTCGAATGCAAACACAAAGGAAGAGTGGGCTTTGACACTCCACACTTGAACAGCTGCACACATACACATACACATCACACTCTCGCGCGCACTTGCGAGCATACCTGAAAGAGGCGGAGAATGAAGAGCTCTCGTGCACCGCGTTGCCTTCTCTTCTTCGAGCCACATGCGCATTCAACCAGTCGAGCCTTTGTGGCCACGGTAAGATCGTGGCCATGAAAGTCGGTAAACTGTGCCAGCAAGTGTGTGTAGTTGAGTCCACGCCATCCGTGGTGGTCGCGGAAACGGGCTATTGGCACAGGAGATGTCACCGCGAGCATGCACGCACGTTGAGAACAGCACGTGAATGTAACCACATGCCGCGAAAAGAGACGCATCAAGCAAGCAGACAAAGCACATCACACACACATACACACACAAAGCACATCACACACACACATCACACACACATCACACACAAAGCACACACAAAGCACACACACACACACGCACGCACACACACACACACACACACACACACACACACACACACACACACACACACACACACACACACACAAGCACATCACACACACACACACACAATGTGCCTCACCAAACGCAGTCTTGATGTCCATGTGCCGGGCAATGGTGTTGCCATCGAGCTGCAGCTCCGACATGATTCGAAGGATGTCTCGCTCATACTTGGATCGCAGGCGCCGTGCCTTGAGGAGCCGATTGATGGCGGTAATCTTGATCGCCTCAGCCTCCGGCAACGTGTGCCAGGACCCTTGCTCATCATCGTCTTTTTCTCCTCCTTCCTCTTGGTCGTCACCCTCCTCATCCTCCACCAGCGTCAACACGTCTGTCCCGCTCACTACCAGCTCCTCGTCACCTTCGCCTTCGTCTTCACTTGGCGACGAGCTTTCCTGCTCCTCCTCCTCCTCCTCGTCCAGGTCACCAACGCTCTCGTCATCCTCCATCACAAAACCGCCATCTTCCATGGTGATTGTGTGTGCGAAATGCGCTTGTGCCAGTCCTTCCAGTGAAAGATGGACCTATCCCATGCACGTGCAGTGTGTGTGTGTGTGTGTGTGTGTGTGTGTGTGTGTGTGTGTGTGTGTGTGTGAGTGTGTGTTTGCGTCGCCTTCCAGTCTCTCCACTCCCCCCCCCGACTCCTCGTCTCGCGCACGACTTGGCGAATCCATGATCGCGTGTATGGACTGGACTGGACTGGACTGGACTGGACTGATGCAAGGGCACGCATGCCTCACACACACACATACAACCAGACAAGCAAGCAAAGAAGCAGGCACAAGCAAGCAGGCAACTACAAGCGAGCGAAGGAACATGTGCATACGCACACGCACGAGCGTGTGAAGCAGCACAGCAACGACGACAACGACGACAACGACGACAACACAACAACAGAGGGACGTGGAAGCAGGAGAAGACGACGACGATGACAAGGGAAGGTGCAGAGCACGGCCGGTACCCACATAAGGATAACAGCGGGGAGAGAGAGAGAAACAACATCGCACAAAGAGAGGACAGCCAGCGCTCATTGCACACACACACACACACATCAAGCAAGGTGTGGAAAACAAGGAAGGGGCAGCAGAGATATGAATGGCACGCTACAAAAAGACAACAAGGTCAAGCCATCATCATCATCATCATCATCATCACTGAACGCCAGCACCGTGTCTGTGTCAGTAACACGAAAGGGAGGCCGGCCAACAAGACACACGATGGCGACCAGAAGAACAGGTGGGAAGCGGAAAAGCACAAAAGAGTCAAATAGGTGACAAGCGACACAGGCAGGGGAGTGGGGAGGGGGGAAGTTGAACTTGACTTTCTGATGTGTGACGGGACAACAACGTAACATAAAACAAAAAGGCAAAACGGAAGGAGACTATTGGTGGCTCCTGTCGAGAATGGAAGAAGAAACTGGCAGTGCGTGAAGCAGGCAGGCAGGCAGGCAGGCAACCAACCGGCCTACCAGCTGACCAGCCAACTCGACCGACAAACCAACAAAGATATTGGACAGAGAGGGATGTGGCTGTGGTGGTGAGTGATTACTTGCGCAAGCAGAGCTTCTTGCCCGACGGCCCCGTGGTCACGGGATGGGAGCAGTAATAATCAATCAGCTCAGGTAAGCTCTCAAACTTCTGCTTGACAAACAACTTGTACAGCGTGCGGTTGTCGCTGGTGATGCTGGGCGTCACGAGACCGTTCCAAATCTTGTTGTTCTCAGACACCATTGCAATGGCATAGCATCTGCACGCGCGCAAGAGCACCGAGAACAACAACACAAAGCAGGTGTGGGTAAGAAGAAGAGGGCGTCGGGGAGTGGAGAAGAGCATGTGAGAGGACTGCCACATGAATACCACAAGCACAGAAACGCAGAAAGATACAGCCACGAGCACACACGCACAAACACAAACACAAGCACAAGCACAAGAAGACAAGCACAAGAAGACCCGCACGAAGGCAGGCACACAACCACCACCACCACCACCACCACCATCATCATCGCCACGCACGTACCCTGGCTGACTGGAGGACTCGCGGACAAAGAAGGTGCCGACGGGCTTCCCGCGGAGGTTCCTGGCTGCCTCCTCACGTGGGAGATCGGGGCGGTACCACGCATAGTCAAACAGCGCCGGGCGACGCACAAGCGGGTCCTCCACAACCTTGGCAGAGCCCTGCTCGCCGCCAAAGTAGCCGTCGTTGAGGAAGGAGAAGTTGCGGAAGACGCCCTGGTCAATGTTGGCAATCGCGTACGGGTCTGCCGGGGACAGGCGCGTGTCTGCTTCTGTAAACTCGGGATCGAAGCAGTCTGCGTTGCGGGGATCATTCACGCGCGGCACGTACGGCGGCTTCACCTCGCGCTTCTCCAGCTTCGCCCAGTCGATAATCTTGAAGAAGGGGTGTGCCTTGACATCCTGCTGGCCAGAAGGGCCGCAGCCGAGGCGGTGGCGCGGGTCACGCGTCAACAGGCTGTCCACAAACGCCTTGCAGTCTGCAGACAACCGCGAGGGAAACTCCACCTTGTGGTGCAGAATCTGGTCAAAGAGCTCCTCCTCATCATCGCCCTCAAACGGCGAGTCGCCAACAAGCATCTCGTACACGAGCACGCCCAGCGACCAAAAGTCGACAGACGCGCCGTAGGGCAGCTCGCGGATGATCTCCGGTGCAAGGTAGCCGGGGGTGCCGCAGAAGGTGGTTGTTGTACCCGCACCCCAAATGTTCTCCTTACACATGCCGAAATCAGCAATCTTGATGTGGCCATCCTGGTAGGAGGAGGGGAGGTGCAAGGGAGAGATGCCATGAGGAGGGGAAACATAAACAACGCGAGTGAGTGTGAAAAAAAAGAGTCTCGGAACCGAAGTACGCCGGCTCCACAAGCACGCTAACGCATCCTTGCGAACGAATGGTGAAGCCCACACACGCACAAACACGCACGCACACAGACAGGGCACTGTCGCGACCACACACACACACACACACACACACAACTGAGTCAACTTACGCCAGCGAGCATGACGTTGTCAAGCTTGAGATCACGGTACAGGACGCCATGGCTGTGCATGTACCAGAGGCCAAGGCAAATCTCGCCTGCAGCAAAACCGGAGGCAGGGGCGACAGCACACAGGTGAGCACATCGGTTGTGCGTGAGCGTGTGTTTGCATGTGCTGCACGAAGCACACACGAACAAGGCTGTGACTCATCACACAAGCAAGCAAGCACAAACACAAGCACACGCACACAAACATGAAAACACTCACGCACACATACACGCACACACAAAGAGTCGCGTGGACGTGCACACCCGAGTGTGTACCTGCGTAAAAGGCGGTTTGCTCGTAGCTGAAGCGCTTGAGCTTCTGGATGTGGAACATGAGGTCACCACCGGTGACAAACTCCATGACAAAGTAGAGGTGCTCTGGGGTCTGGAAGGAGGCGACGAGGGTGGTCAGGAACGGGCAGCGGCTGGCCATGGCGAGCACGCTCCGCTCCGTCATGGTGCAGTCCACATCGTCATCCTCAACAACCACCTCTTTCTTCAACACCTGCAGGCATCGAAAGGGGAGCCACGTATCAAAACAAGAAGGGGGCGGGGGCGGGAAAGAGAAGGGTGTGCGTGTGTGAGTGTGTGAGTGTGTGTGTGTGTTCCCAGCAGGGATGCATTAGACTAAACACGGACAACGAAAAAGACATGTGCGTCGCAAACAAGCAGGAGATGACACTGGGGGAGGCAGAGAGGCGCACCTTGACAGCGTACACGTCACGTGACTTTTTGTGTTCCGCCATCAGCACCTTACCGAAGCTACCTTGCCCAAGCACCTGCACCAAACATCGTCACACACACAAAAAAAAAAAGGCCATGAGCTGGCAGCTAGGCGCCTGCACCATTATGAACACAGCCGTCCCCACACACAAACACATACGAACCCAGGCATATCCACATCCACGCACAAAATACACGCACACTCTTTCTCTTGTCTACGCCGTCACACACATAAACACCAGCAAACATAAGCACAGCGTCAACGTACTTTGAGGTATGTGAAGGTTGACTGGTCGACTTTGCCAAAGTCCTTGGCAGCTGATTGGGTTTTGGAGAGGGTTTGCGCACGTGATTCACTCTTGGCAGGCTCCTGGGCAGGGGCGGGCGCGGGTTTGGCTCTGCTTGGCGCCGGCGGCATCTTTGCTTGTCTGTTGTTGTTTGTTGGTGTGTGATGATGTGAGGCGCACGCGCGTGTGTCGAACGGCATGACCACGACACGGCAGCACAGACCCACGACAAGCAGGGGCAACCGCACAACCGGGAAATGGCTGCATTCCTGGTGACAGACACACGCCCACACATGCCCACATACATACACATACACATCACGCGCACCCGCCCACACATGACGCGCACCCACCCACACACCCACACCCACACACATACACACGCACGCCCACACTTACGCTTGTTGGCCGCCCTTGCGCACGCTGACTTGAGTGTCATCCTTGACCTTTGGCCTGAAGGGGATGTACTGGAAATCGCCCTTCTTAGCGTCGAGGAGGCGGAACCAGCCCTCGCGGTGGCCATCCTCAAACAGCTCAGCCAGTGGGAAGGTCATGGAGCCCATAAACTGCGAGCGCCGCAGCTTGCTGTACTCGGACACGACGAGCTTGAGCTGCCTGTTCTCCACGTCGCCCGTGCGCACCTCCCAGCGGAACGTCTCGTTGAACATGGGGTTGACGGTGTTCTTGCGGACATTGGACTTCTTCTTGGTGGCCTTCTCGTCTGGGGTGAGCCAGATCTTGAGCTGTGGATCGGCGGTGTTGTTCTTGTTCATGGCAATGAGATCGCGGCCCTCGCGAACCGTCACGGTGAGCACGCAAAACGCAGACGCCTTCTGCACGCGGATGTCCAGGAAGAGGCGGCCGCGGTTCTGACGGAAGGCACGACGGGCAAAGCCGCGGCCAAAGTGGCCCACGCCCTTGAGCGTCATGGACTTGTCTGCAGACCCTGTTTGCGTCTTGAGTTTGGCAATGGCCTCGTCGATGGTCATCTCGCCCTCGGCGACCATGCGCATGGCAGCGATACGGTCATCCTGGCTCAGCTTGGACAAGTCTGAGAGGTTGAAAGTGTCGGCTCTCTTTGCCATTGTGACTGCCGAGACAATACGAAAACCGGAGATGGGCCAGGGGGGGGGGGAATGCAAACAGCAGGCGTGGCGAGGGCGAAGGGACATGGGGCATAGGGAGACGGGATGTCGTGAGATGGGAAGGGTCTGACAGCAGTTTAAGACGATTGTGCACACAGACACACACACGCACACACACACACACACACGCACAGAGAGAGAGAGACACACACACACACACAGACACACACACACACAGACACACACGCACACGCAAGGCGCAGCAACAGCGAAAGCAAAACGTACAGGGTTTGTGTGTGTGTGTGTGGGGGGGGGGGGGGCTGGCTGGATGGGCGGAGATGGGGAAAAGTTGGAGGGGGTTTGACACAGCGTGTGAAAAAATCAAACGGAGACAACAAAAACCCAACACCAACAATAACTGCTACACCAACAAACAGAGGCAGCTGCGCGAGTCTGCTGCTGTGATGTGAGGCTAGAGAGGAAGGAAGGAGGCTGGGGGGGGTTGTCTGCTTTGGGCCCAAAACTGTAGTGATGTGATGTTGTGACGTCCGGTCAAGCACGCAAACACAAGACACAGAGACGATGTCGCAGCTGGCTCGCTCAGCGATGATGATCCGGCGCGGTTTTGTTTGTGTGTGTGTGTGTGTGTGGATGGGAGGAGGGGGTCAGGCTTGTCTGTTGTGCTGCCGTGCGTGCTGCCGTGCTGTGCTGTTCTTTTGGTTGGCTGTCGTTCCGTTGAAGGCCAATGGTCAAGGGACTGAAAACAGGTACCCGGTACTCCAACACAACTATTTTTTATTGTTGGTATTAAAATACTTTTTATCCTGTCTGTAATCTGGTCGTGTGTGTGTGTGTGTGTGTGTGTGTGTGTGTGTGTGTGTGTGTGTGTGTGTGTGTGTGTGTGTGTGTGTGTGTGTGTGTGTGTGTGTGTGTGTGTGTGTGTGTGTGTGTGTGTGTGTGTGTGTGTGTGTGTGTGTGTGGAGGTGTGTGTGTGGGTGGCTGTCTCTCAGTGTCTGCTTGTGTGTGTTTGTGTGCGTGCGTTTGTGTGTGACTGTGTGTGGCTGTCTCTCGGTGACTGCCTTGTCTGCCTGTGTGTGTTTGTTTGTGTGGCTGTCTCTCAGTGTCTGTATGCGTAGGCTACCGCGGCGTCGTTGAACGCGGTGCATACGAGTGGTGGCCACGGCCTTGCTCTCGTGGTCGCGACAGTGACCGTGGCCGCCGCGTGGGTGAGTACCCGTCCCTGCTGCTGCTTCTGCTGCTGCTGCGCTCACGATGCTGATGGTGCTGGTAGTAGTGGTAGTGTTGGTCACTGTCATGGTTGCGCTGGCGAAGGTTGTGGTGGTAGTGGCTGTCGGACGAGGAGCGCCGCGTCGGTGAACGGGCAGCTGCGTCGTCGGGGCCGTGAGAGCGAGCACTGCCTCTGTCGCTCCTGTTGCTGCTGCTGATCCTGCTGCTGCCCCTGCTGTGGCTGAAACTGCTGCTGCTGCTGCTGCTGCTGCTGAGATTGCCGTGTGTGGTATGCTGCTGGCTGTGCTGTCCGTGGTGGTACTGGTAGCGGTGGTCATGTTCATGGCGAGGGGCCTCATGGCCGCGAGCGGCTGGCGATGGATACGAGTGCGACTGGCCCTCGCGCACCATGGAACCACTGCGAGCACCGCGCCCATGAGCACGCCCGCGTCCCCGCCCTCGTCCCCGTCCTCCTTCTCCTTGCGCGCCCAGCCCAGCACTGCTTCGGCCTTGCGCATTCGCCCGATCAAGCTCGCCAAGCTGCAGTCTGCGGTAGTCGTCCACATGCATGGACGGCGCACGCGAGCTCGCTCTGGTCGACGCCTCCCCGCGACCCGGGCGACGTGTTGCTGCTACTGCTGCTGCTGCTGCTGCTGCTGATGCTGCTGCTGCTGCTGCCGATGGCGGGCGGCGGGTGGATCGTGAAGACGGTGGTGGTGCACCTGGCTTGGTCACTGAAGACGATGATGGCGATGGCGATGGCGACGATGACGATGGCCTCAGGTGTGTTGTGTCGCGGAACTTGAACCGCTGGGGGCCGCCTATGCCTTCCAGCCGCAGCGCTTCCCCGCTCGCCGTCCTGTCAGATAATGGGTGAGAGAAACATGTCAGAATTGTTTTGGCACAGTGACAACAAATGCAGCAGGGAAGATGGGGGAGAGGGAGAGGCAGGGACGGAGAGACAGAGAGACAGAGGTATGTATACATGTTTACAGGAGGCCCAGAGAGGAGGCGAAGAATCACGGCACAGTAATTAATATGCACACACACACACACGCACACACATGCACACACACACACACACACACACACGCACACACACACACACACACGAGCGCACCGTGTTGGTGGGGCAGAGTCTGCGCTTGATGAGAGCCTTTGGTTTCGGCGCGCTGCGTCTTGGCGTTCCTTCACTGCACGAAGTTCAATATCATAACGATCGTTCACAAACCGCGCTGTGGCCTCCATGTCAATACACGCCGTCAGCGACTTAACCTTTTCTGGGCTGTTGTCGCCCGGCCAGTGTACGCTCTTGTACACGTACAGGGGAAACTGGTCTTCCATGCCAAGCAGCAACGGCTGCCGGTCCGCAATCACGTAACAAGCAGCAGGGCGCAGGCGTTCCAGCGCAGCACTGGTTGGTGTTGTACGGCCGTGTTCCAGGGAAGCATGGGTGGTGTATGCGTGAGTCCAACATGAAAACAACAACACGTGTTTGCGCTACACCTGGGCATATATATGCACGTGTGGGTGTTGTTGTGCGTGCGTGGCTAATGTCAAGGCTGATGACCAGCAGCATGACGCGCGTGCATGCATGCTCACCGAATGCGGGGATATGTGCACGCATTGGGGTCTTGAAACGGTCGGCCCTTTGCCCTCAGGCATGTCAGCGCGTTGTACGCCTGCAAACATCAACACAACAGATGCACACGCACTTATGGTGAGCAACACCAGCCGTAAATTCACACACAACACGCTCACACACACGCTCACAAACACGCTCACACATACACAACAAACAGCAAAACCAGCCAACCAAAACAAAACAAATAAAACGAAATAATGTAAACACGAGAAGCAATCACAAGCAACACATTTCACAAAGCAACCCACCTGCTCCAGTTGGGCGCGGTCCTGCGTGACGTCGGTGGCGGCATCAGAGAGCAAGAGCAGTGCACTCTCCAGCACCTCGTCGTAGTCGTCATCGTCTGAATCTGTCGCGTGTAGCATCAGCCGCAAGCCTGTTCCAACCACCATCTCCACTGCACTGCTCAGTGCGTGGTTGCCTGAGACGCCCAGGGCGTTGGTCGGGGCGTTAGTAGTGGCAGTGGTGGTGGTGGCGGCGGTGGTGGCGTGAATGGGTCCAATCAGCCCGCACAGTGCAATCGCTCGCACGAGCAGCGGATGCGGGGTGGTCAGCGTGTCTTGTAGGCGATCAAGAAGACGTGTGCTCCAGCTGTGCATGCATGCTTCGATTGCATTCGAGTCCGGCAGAAAGCTGGCTGACGCCGATGCTTCCAGTGACGCTGCTGGTGGTGGTGGTGGTGGTGCTCTCGCGTGAAGCAGTAGGAGGCAGTGCAGGTACGCAGCCGCCACCCGCGCGTTCTCGGCTGCACTACTTTCGTCCCCTTCACTGTCCTCTAACGCACCCGTGCCTGGAGTGCCTGTAACAGTGCCAACAGCAGCTTCACCAGCGCCCCCAGTTGCATTCAGAGAGGATGACACGGTGTCTCCACTGTGTTGTGCCCGCGTACCAAAGGCGGCACACAGCACGGCCTGCAGCACGAGGCCCAGTGGCACGCTCGTGCCGTTCTCACAGGGTATCTCAGGAGCAAACATGTTCACCAGCGAAGCAGGTACTGGATGACGCAGAAACGCGGACACGTGTGCTGGGGGAAGCGCAAGCACGATTCCCGACAGCAAATCAAGCGTCGCTGCCGCTGCCGCAGACTGTGGGTTGCGAAGCGACAACGCCAACATGCACAGCACCAAGCACATGTTGTCCTGGGACACCACCACCGCCACCACCACGTCCTCCACGTCCTCCGCCTCCTCCTCTTGCTCCTGTTGCTGCTGCTGTTGCTGTTGCTGTTGTTGTTGGTGGTACGCGACAACAGGCGCGATGGCGCTCAACCAGGGGAGTTGGTGCAGCATATCCTCCTTGGACACCATCAGATTGCCGTCTCCGCCCCACACGTCAAAGCCAAAACATTGAGGCAGTAGCTGGTGGCCACCACGCTTCTCCTCCGTGCAGGCACCTTGCTCATCATGCTGCTTGTCACAGTTGTACATGGAATGCACAACACCTTCGTCATCATCGTCATCATCATCTTCATCTTCACCATCATCATCATCATCATCAGTAGCTGCACTGTCACTGCCACTGCTGTCGTCCCTGTCCTCGCTGTCATCATCGGTGTGGTCACTACCAATTTCACCACCACCAACATCACCAGCACCACCAGCACCATCACTATCATCATCACCCTCTTCCATCTTCACGCCGCCCTGCTGCTGATGATGCTGCTGACTTTGTTGTCGTCGTTCTTGCTGGCGCTTGTGTGGTGCGCGCAGCCTTTCGAGTTTGAGAATGGTTGCATTGGAGAGGGATGGCGTCAGGGTGAACACAGCGCGGAGAAGAGCGTGCATGCAAACGCCTTCTGCACACGCCGGCATCACCAGCTCCTGCACAGCGCATCTGTACGCATGCTCAACCTCGCGTTGAAGGAGCCGCACAGCCGCTGATGTGAGTGCACACGCGCACGGAGTCTCTTTTGTATCTGGGCGCGCGGCAGAAGAGGCCTGCAGGTGTGATTCTGCACGCACGCGAGAGGTGAACATGGACGTGGATGTGGAGGGGATGGAGGCGGAGGCAGATGGCAAGGTTGATGGCATGCTGGACGTAACAGTGGCAGTGGACGTGGAGGATGCGAGGAACAGCATCGTGCGTCGAAATAATACGAGCGCGGTGGATGACGTGGACTGCGTTGCCTTCATCAGCCGTCCAAGCAGCTGGAGCACATGGACATGGGGCTGAGCGTGCACCGCCAGAAGATGCTGCACTGCAATGGCAGCAGCGGCCATATGTGCGCTGGCACGTGTCAACGCCCTCTGCTGCAGCTGCTGCAACATGTTCGACTCATGATCGGAGCAGGAGAATGTGGCGGGCGGAAGGTGGTTTCGCACAAGCGCGCACGCAGATGCATACAGCTGACGAAGGTGTGCCGTGCGCAGCGTCACGGGGTGCACGCCCGATTGCGCAAGCAAGCTCAGTGGCTGTTCCGTGCACACAAGCTCATTCAAGTGCAGGAAGAACACGGCGAGGTTGCGTGCATCCACGTGATGGCGGCTGTTCGGGTGGAGGCGGCTCAGCAGCAGCGCCAGCACATCACACGCCTGCTGGGAAATGGCAATCAACACACACTGGTCGAGCTCTCGCTGTTCCAAGCAGCGGCCAGCACTGCCGCCGCTGTTATCGCCACCACCTTCTCTGCTGCTACGTCTTTCCTCTCTCCTCCTGTCTTCAGCCCCGCTTCCAGTAGATGCATCAAGATCACTCCAGCTTCTGCGGCCTTTGTCGTCTCTGGAACCGGGGCGGTGCCGTGGTGGCGACTGCCGCTGGTGTCGTTGGTCGTGGTGGCGATCGCGACGGTGGCGCGGGTTGTGCTGGTGGCTACGGTGACCACTACCATCGCCACCCCCTCTCTCATCATCGTCCGCACGGCGACCACTTGCCCGCCTGCCATCACGACCGGTGTTCCGCTCATTGCCGCGTTCATCGCCATCGTCATCATCGTTCTCTGCTCTGTCGTTGACGTGCACAGCCAGCGCCTGCATTCCGTATGCAAGGGCGGCGCAAATGTCGTGTGGCGCGCGCTCAACCACGAGCCCCAGTCGCGTGTCGGGCGGGAATGATGATGGCGCAGCGCTCTGCAGCCATGCGCGCACACGTCGCAGGCGATACAGCAGTGCCAGGTGCTGGCTGTCGGATGCGTGCCTGCTGTGTGCACCACGTGACGCCTGGCTGCGGCACCCGTGTTCGCGCGCGCGGTGCCGGCTGTGCTCGTGGTGGTGATACTGCTGGTACTGGTGCGACGATGCACCTGAAGGGTCGTTGTCGAGGGCTGACGGGGACAACTCATTGACGAGGGAGCCAATGGACCGAATGGTGCGCAGTAGATCGCCGGGTGTTGATGGCGTGGGGACAGCCCACTCAAGCAGCTCCTTCACAACATCATCGCTTCGTCGCGACTGCTTGAGAATAACAGCGAGCGACGCGGCATGGGCAGACGCCGCCGTGCCTGCCGGCAGCTCACGCGCACACATGAGCACAATCTTCTCGCACAGCAGGCCAAACACAGCCAGCGTCCCAACGTACGCCTCTTCCTCACTCGCACTGTCCTGAGCGTTGGCATTGTGGGCTGGCTCGTGACTGCCGTGGTTGTGGTTGTGGTTGTGGTCGCGGTGGTGGTGATTGCGGTGGGAGCCAAGCTCCTCCTGCCAAAACGCCTCCGCTGAACGCCACGGGCTGCGGGCATTGCCACTCGATGTAGAGTCAGCACGAGGGCGCCCGAGCTGCCTGCTGTGAGGTTGTGAGGTGGGGGAGGCGTGTTGTGCATGTTGATCGCGGGGGTTACGGCGTGTGTCACCACTACTGGCGTGCCCGTTGCCCCCAGCGTGACGGCGGTGGCGTGTGCTGTCTGTGGCAACAGCATCATCATCGTGATTGCGGTTGCTGCTGCGCAGTTGCTCAGCGTGGAAACCCTCCATGCGCCGGAAACAAGCCATGTACGCGCACAGCAGCCAGTCCACTGCACCGAGGTAATGCAGTACTGTCGCCAGCGTGTGCTGGTGCGCGTCCGTCTCCACAAATGCGTATGTGTTGCGCAGGGCGAGCAGGAGCGCGTGTGTGGACACGGCGTCGCTGCCAATGTCAAACACGGCGTGCACGGGGCGGTGGGCCATGAGCGTGTCAGCCAGCATCACGCAGTGCAAGTGCTGCGAGATGAGCATGGCCAGCGCGGTTGGCGGGCATGCGATTGGTGGCGGTGGCGACGGCTCTCGTGAGAGCGCATGTGGCGGTAACGTGGGCAAGGACGGTGCAGCAGCAGTCGGGGCTGGAGCATGGCTGCTGCCACTGGTGGTGGTGGTGGTGGTTCCGTGTGTGCGGTGAGATGAGGTCGTGTTGCTGGTGCTGCTTCCGCTACCGCTGCCATTGTGGGTTGAGTTGGCGGTGTCAGCGAATGGTTGTGGCGCACCCTTCCACAGGCACCAGCCAGCTGCCGCATGTGCATCACGCATGCACACGTCACGGGCGCCAAGCAGATACGCGTGCGGCGGCAGCAGCGTGGTGATGTCGTTGTCGCCTCCTTCAAAGTGCAGCTGGTCGCCAAGGGCCCTCAGCTGCACCACAAGCACGCGGACCACGGGCAGATGGCGTGCAAGATAGAGCAACCCTTGCCGTGAGCGCAGCAGCAGCAGCAACAGTGTCTTCATGCGGTTGTAGGCATTGGCAGCGGCCACATATGGCACGTCCTGCACACGCCACGCCCCGCCGATGCACGAGTCCGTCGTTTGAGAACGCGAGCCATTACTTGCACTGCAACTCCTCCTGTATGCATTGCAGCCACTGTTTGGATCACGACTGCTGTTGTTACTGCCACCGCTGTTGCTGCCACTGGTGCTGTCGCTGTCGCTGTCGTGAGGAACGCTGCCACTCGCCAGATCTTCCTGCTCGTGCTCGAGCACGCTGTCGTCGTTGCTGTCCTCCGCCTCCTCAAGAAACGCGGCCAGCGAGCTCGTGAACTGTGTCAGCTTCGCAAGCAGGCCCGTGCTGTGCATGAACAAAACGCACTCGTCGCTAATTGCAGGCACACCTGCTGGCAGAGATAGCGATGGTGATGCTGGTGCTGGCGGTGGTATTTGCGGTGCTGGTGGTGGTGGTATTGGTGGTGTTGGCAGGGGTGCTGCTGCCGTGCGTATCCTCGTGTGTTCGCCGTAAAGGTGCTGGCACAGCTCATGCAACGTAGTATACCCAGAGCTGGGGCTGTCGAGCTTCCTCTCCATCAGCACAAGCAAGCGTGCAAGCCTCAGTGCTGCTTCAACGTCCCGCGTCCACTCCTGCTGTCCAGCATCGTCCGTGGTGATGATCGTTGGTGCTTGTGTGCACAAGTGCTGCAAGAGGGACAGCCATGTTTCGCTATACTCGGTCGGTGGCGTTGCTGCTGTTTGTGGCGGCGTTGCTGCTGTTTGTGGCACCGCTGCTGATTGTGCTGACTGTACGGTTGGTGTTGATAGCGTGGCTGCAGCATGGGTGGGAGAGACGGCGGTGGTGGGAGTTGCGTGTGTCAACTTGGCTCGCTTCGCTGTTGGCGGGCCATCCTCGTCGTCGTGGCCGTCATCGTGGCCGTGGCCGTCGCCCTGCTGAACGGCTTGCTCGGCCGCGGATAGATGCTGTGCATGCACCCGACTGCTGCTGCTTCTAGTGCCGGGCGACATGAGCTGTGCCGAGCGTGAGTCAATGGGCAGTAGCAGGGTGCGGGCACCAGAGATGGTGCGTGCTGCTTCGTGCAGGATTTTGGCGCCAATTCGACGGAAGCTGGTCGCCTCGCCCTGGATGAGTGCAACGGCACACGCGAGGGCGCCGTGGTTGATGAGCGTGCCGGCAACGGACAGGCCAGAGCTCAACAAAGCTGTGGCGAGAGCTAGTCCCATGGTGATGCCGTTGCTGAGGATGGCGGGTCCCAGGTGTGCATATGAAGCTGGCCGAAGGCTTGCCAAGCACGCAGTGCACAGGATGGTCTCCGCGCGCTGCAAGAATTGGGGTATCGCAGCTGCAGACGTGCTGGCAGTGCTGGCAGTGCTTGTTGTGGGGTGGCCTGCATTTGAGTCGGGAGGCTGAGCGCGGATGTGCTGAGCTGCTGCTGGAGATGGTGGTGCTGCTGCCAGTACACCGGGAACGTACAGCCACGGCAGCCCAGGGTCGATGGTCTGGGAGACGGTGCGAATGAGCTGCAGCTGGTGCTTTGTGAGGTGATCCGGGAGGCTGCGAGCATCGATGGCTGGCTGCATGCATGCTTCCAGGGCTTGCAGTGCAGCGTAGAGCTTTTGTCCCGCTTTGATTGTCTCGGTGATTGTCGTCTGGCTGATGTTGGTGGCAGCCACGCGCCGAGGGACACCTGCATCCACGGCGCCCTCACTGCCAGCGTAGTGAGCCGTTAGGGCATCGATGAGCGGCTGGCAAGGGCCGTCGCCGACAAAATAGAAGGAACTTGGCGTCCTCAGATCTGCTGGCTGTGCTGGGTTTGAGTCTCGCAGCACGCTGTCGAACACCTGGCCCGTTGCCGGTCGCGCCGCAGCTGTTGGCGCCAAACTGGCAGCATGGCGCTCATCCATTCCTCTGCTGCAAACAGTGTCAGCAGTGCAAGGGTGGGACTACCAGCCAACTTGTTTCCCCTTTGTGTGTCATACGTGACAAAGGAGCGTACTGCAAAAGGACGGGTGCTGTGTGTCGCGGGTGTTGCCAGGTGTGTGTGTGTGTGTGTGTGTGCATGGACTGCGTGGGCCAAGTCCGTCACGTGCTGCCAATGCTGGAGCGCGTATTGTTGGTGTGCTGTTGTGGTTGTGTTCATCAAAAGTCAAATTTGCCTTGCCTGCAACGGATACAAACAGAGGAAGCAAGCAAGCAAGCAAGCAAGAAGCAAAGGAGGACACCAGCTCGCACCAAGCACAAGCCAGAGCAAGCCAGAGCAAGCGAGAGCAAGCAAAAGAAGGTCACACCATGGCCCGCTGCGCGCTGCCTGTGCTGTTGCTGAATCTCAACTGCGAGATGCTGTATGTGATTGAGGAACGACTTGTTGCACAGGGTGTGGATGCAGAGAAATCAGCCAGAGGTGCGTTGCTGTTTGATGTGCGGTGGTGTATGTATTTGTTGTTTTGTGTGTGTGTGTGTGTGTGTGTGTGTGTGAGTGCCTGTTTGTGTGTGTGTGTGAGTGTGAGTGCCTGTTTGTGTGTGTGTGTGAGTGTGAGTGCCTGTTTGTGTGTGTGCGTGTGAGTGCGTGTGTGTATCTGTTCGCATGATGCTTTGTGGAGTTGTGGTTGGTTGTTGGTCACAGGTGACTGCCTCGCTTTCAACCCACATGTGCATGCGCACAACTACCCTTTCACACACACACACACGCGCGCACGCACGTTAACAAACACCAACACAAAACATCGCTGGCATGCAGTCCGAAGTGATCTTGTGACGGCCATGTTTGATCGTGAGTTCATCGAGACGCTGTTCAAGCCACAGCCAATGTACGACCAAGCACAGCTCATGTCCATGCTGGACCACTTTTCCCAAGCAAGCATCATTCGCCTCAATGCCAAGAGCTTGTCCAAGGTGCTAGACTGGAGTCTCGAACGCTCATGTCATGTGTGCGAGATTCCGGATGCCATTATTTGAACCAGTGCATTTGTGTGCATTTGTGTTCCTCGCTGATTGCTAGTTTGTGTGCGTTGCTTGGTGCTTTGTTGGCCCTGTGATGTGACAATATGACATTTGACATTGCCCTGTGATGTGACAATATGGCATATGCCATTGACTGACCGCCGTCGCCCCCTGCACCTATCCATCCTTGATCGCTTGCAGCTGTTTGACTTGATGATCATGACAGTCAAGTATCAATTCTCCTTATGCAAGTGCGCAAAGGAGATGCTTGCAGTGACCCTGACCCATCTGGAAGTGGTGCATGACACACTGCACCTCTCCCAGTCGTGCCAGCAGCTTGTTGAACACACCATCAACCTGGTCAAGGAGGTGCGCCCCATGCATGCGTCTGTGTGCATGCGTGTATGTGTTGTGTGCGTGTCAGAGGTTGTACATGTGCGCGTGAGAGGTTTTGTGTGCGTGTGAGAGTTTGTGTGTGTGTGTGTGTGTTTGTGTGCATGTGCAAATGCTTGTCCTCATGTTCATCCTGTTATTCCATGTGTTACATCCTCGCATGCTTCCATCCAATCCATTTGTGGACTGGGCAACCGCCAGCGGTACGGCAGCTTGAGCACGGGCACGTGGCAGAGGATTCGGCACGTCATCGGCTGCGTTCTTCAGGACAAGCACACACGCGTACGCTCTTGTCGTTTATCTCATTTCATTTAGCAGGCGGTGCAAAGAAAGTACGGAAACTGACAGGTGTGACTGCACATTCCTTTCCTCACAGCTTGCACATGCGCGCATTGTATTGTGTTTCTGTGCGGGGGGTGTGTGTGTGTGTGTGTGTGTGTGCGGGGTACTACGCTGTGGAGAAAAAAAAATAAACAATTAAAATCCCCATGGGGGGGTTAAAAAAAAAAA